GCAGGAAGTGGCTTACACTTCAAAATAAAAGCACAGTTTTGTTGTAAGTTGATTGTAATTGTCAAAAATATTCCAAATACCAATTTGGCGGCAGTAGCTCAGGAGGTAGAGCGGTCGTCCAATAACCAGCAGGTTGTCGGTTCGATTCCCTCTATCCCAAGTCTGTCCGTTGTGTCCTTTGGCAAGACACTAACCCCACTTTGCTCCCAGTTAGTGTCCTCCACTGGTGTATGACTGTGAGTGTTGTGTGGTGGTGGTTGGAGAGGCTGTAGGCGCAAACTGGCAGCCATGTTTCCGTCAGTCTGCCCCACAGCAGCTGTGACTATAAAGGTAGTTTACCATCACCAAGGTGTGACTGTGTGAGCGAATTAATGATCTACCCAATGTAAAGCGCTATAGGAAACCTGATGCATTATTATTATTAATTATCGGCTTCATCAGCTACTATTAATCGGCATTGGTATCAGTATCGGCCTTCAAAAACTGATACTGGTCTGCATCACGGTATTTTCTCTTTCCTCTGTGTCTGCAGAAAGAAGAAAGGGTATCTGCTCTTCGTAACCAGCTGGCTGAGCGTCAGGCCCTTCGCAACCGCCGCCGACCCTCATCCGGACAGAACCAGAACCACAACGCCCCTCCGCCTTCCTCCCAGCCAGACCCCAAGTCTCTGCTACCCCCTCCTGGCTACCCTAACCCCACCACGGACAATCACTCCCTCCCTCCGTCCTTCTCCAACTCCTCCAACCTGTACCCGGCCGACAGCAAGATGAGCCGCAACCACTGTCACAACAGCCAGATCCCGCTGCTGTACAAGTAGGCGAGGCACGGGTGTGGGGGAGGGGATGGGAAGGTTTAGGGGGCCCGGATCGGTCGCACAGTGCACACATGTGGTGACACTAACACAATGAGACACTGTGACGTTCACTTGTTTGGCTGAGAAGCACAGCGGTGTAGTGACACTGTTTTTAAAAGTACAACGTGGAAGCACAAAAAGAGTTCACAGGAGCGCTTTTACACTCGGCAGCTTCGTGGAGACGGAGATCACACAGGTAACACCCGCCCGCCCTCACAGCTTTGATCTCACTGTGTTCAACCCAGCAACGACCACAGCAGCGGCCACAAGCACATCTCAGACTCGCAGCACTCGAGGTCAAGTGAACGGATTGACCTCGTCATCGTTCCTCTTCCTCATTCGTTCTCTCGTTCTGTTGTGGAGACGTCGGATCTGAAAAGTTTGTGTTTGTGTCTTTTTGCTCTACACATTTGGTCTCTGGAGTTTGTTGACTAGACAAGCACATACAGTAGTGATTTATATTGTTCTGTAATTTTCTGACCTGTTTTTGTCATGGAGTTGTTGTTCGATTATTTGTTTACTTTTTTCAGGAGAGTCGTGAAACTGAAAACCTGTCAAAGGGACGAAGCGATGTACAGTTTGTCCCTCTGAACAGCAGCTCATGAATGACAGTGTGCATTATAAAACAGCCATAATCTATAAAAGGCCATTGAGCTGGGCATGTCTGTGTAAGGACTGTATAACACTGCATCTGAAACCCCCAGTCTTTGCTGATGTGACCTGTTTTTAAAAGGAGAAAATGATCCAAGCTTGCTCGCGCTGGAGGAGGACAATTTTTGATAGTTTTGCCATTTGAAAATAATGTTTTACAATGTGTTTTTTGGAGATTTGTGTTGTATCTACTTATCTGAACAGTACAGAAGTAGCCATCAAACAAGCCCCTCTTCGTGCATCTGATCTTGATGTATTTCATAGATATCATCGCTGCAGCCGAGTCTTAAATTTACCCTAATTTCTACTTTCTGCCTCCTGGAAATGAAAGCCAGTAAATATTTCTGCTGCAGCTCCGTGATGGGATGTGGGGGGTCCCATGATGGCTATTTCTGTAGCTCGCCGAAGAAAGCACAGATTTTATAATGGGACTCTGTTACTCGTCTTTTTTAATTTCAAAGGGATCTTTTTTTTTATGTTTCTCCATAGCAGACAATCTGGATGGATGCTTCTTTCTTGTTTTTTTGTATTTTTCTTTCCCATTTTGCCTTTCGAGTAGGTTGTAAATGTATCAAAGAAGGATATATACGTGCAGAAATGTGACATACTGTATTTATTCAGCAGTTAATGTGGATGTACTATTTCATTCATGAGCTATATCCAGATTTTATAAAAGCAATGATACCTGAACAGCTTTAACCACAGGTGAAACAATACTTTGTCAGATATTTTTAAATCTCTATATTTCAGTGTGCACTTTAAACTGAACTAAACTACGGTTATTCCACTTGAAGTTATTCTAATAAATGTTAGCTCAGGGTTCGGAGAGGGACAGTAATGAATGAAATAGGCCATATTTATTAACTGTGCAGTACGCAGATGAGAAAGTGTAACATATGAATACAGAAATCATTTAGGAAATGTTCTATTATCTTACACACATACCTATATGACAGTATACATGGATTTGGGGATATTTGTATTCACTATATCTAAGATCTTAAATGTTAATATATTTCAGAGTATGTGTATGCAGATATATGGGTAACATCAATAAAATAATTGTTTTTCATTGAGTATTTCTGTGTTTCTAGGATGCTTTTGCAATAGATGAAACTAAGCAATAACTTTCAGTGTAAAAAAACTGCAGTTCTTCAAGTGTCCACTAGAGGCTGGCTCCAAAGTTTTAGGACGCTCCATTACCACCCATGTTAAAATGACAATTTTACCTCTGAAATTGAACAAGTTTATCTCTGTTTTGAAGACGTCAAGGCTGAGAGATGTGCGGGATTTACAGAACTGGGGGAGCTCCTGAGTTTTCTGATACGCGGGTGCTATGTAACTGTTTACCAAGAGTGGCAATGGGTAAATAACTTGAATATTTATAATCAGCTACAGCTACTAGTTACCATTACCAAAAAGTAATAGAATTACTGTGTTTGGAAACCAAATATGTAAAAATTTTTTTTAAATGTGTTCATAATGTGCCGAATCATTGCAAAAGTTTCACGTTCAGCTGAGGCACAGATTGTACTATTATTGTATTTTTCGCACTATAAGGTGCACCTGATTATAAGGCGCTTCATCAATGAACGCGTCTATTCACATCTATTTTCATACATAAGGCGCGCTGGGTTATAAAGCGGATTAAGCCAAACAAAACAAAGCAAGGCTGCAGTGCTCCGACAAGCCAAAAGGATTTTAAGTGCGCCTTATAGTGCGAAAATTACGGTAGTTGTTTTATTTAGAGAGATCCACTCTGAGTTAGCACTGGACAAACTTTCAACATTCAGAAACCCTGAACAGAACTTGACTGATTTTGTATAACCATCTGTGATAACTACTGTATAAAGACCAGTCAAGTGTGATAGTGAGAGAAGAAGAAAATCCACAGCAGTCTCATCACTATGAAATCTAAGGTTTATTTTAAGATCTGGTGCAAACATAGCGTGTTTTATTCTGTTGATTAACCAGAGCTTTAACGCTGATTTGGTGTCTGAATCTGCCCTGTGCTCTGATGTATCTGCTGCAGAAGGCTGCAGATGGCCGGAGTTGGGATGGAGCAGAAACACACCACAGCAGAGCCGGTGCATGCAGACTTGTGAGCTGAAGTGAAAACCTCTCTGCTTCTCTAGGGCAGCTGAGATGGACTGAACACTGATCTGGTGGAGTTCATTGGTAAGAGTTTTGGGTCCTTTTTATTAGAGTTAACTTTGGTTTGAAACATCATCTTTATGGAGACAAAGCTTGTTAAAGAATCGACTCAGTGCATAACAATATAATATAGCTAGTCCAAAGCTTATTCATGCATCATCTGCATCCTGCACTTCATTTTTGTTCATAGCTTTGTAATGTGTGTGCACAGTGCAAAAAAAAAGGTATTTCACTGCAATTTACTTCAGTGTCATTCGATTTTTATACATTTGACACCTGAAGATAACAGCCCGCTCAACCCGTAGATGGTTTTCTGGAGTGTTTGTCGCTCACAGATTAAACTGCATAAAAAGCCCCTCAAGATGTTGAAACTCGCTCTGCAACTTTCTGAAAAGCTGCCACAAAATCAGGGAGTTAGTGTTGCAACAATCACAGAAAAACCCACAGAGTCCTGGAGGGAGTGGGTACCCTGTTGATGTTGATGAATATCCACTAGATGTCAGCAGTTATTTAATGCTCCACATTCACTTTCTGAGCGATTAACTCGGCCGGATTGATTATATTTGACAGTGAGACAGTGTTTATCTCTGCCTTGGCCTCCTGGAGTCCAAGAGCGAATAAAAAACCCGGAGGAAGAGATCATTAAAGAAAGCGGGATCCTGTTTTCAGCACAATGAGCAGCTGCGAGGGCCGGTGGGAACGCCGTCACTGAGACAATAAGTGGATGTTTGAGGTTAAAAACAAACTAAAGGAGACAGATTGCTCCCAAGTACAGGCGATATTTGTACAGTGAGTGTTTTTAGAAGATGACAATGTGACGAAACCAGCTGTGCCGCAGTCCCATGATCCCACAATACACACGCTAACACAGCTTTTGCCATCGCACACACATACACACACACATCCTCCCGTGTCATGTCTCTTTCCAGCTGACTGAGAGCGAGGTATGTGGTAATACAGGGGAGGGTTTGGTGGTGCGGGGAGTTAATGTGTGTGTGTAGGAGAGAAAGGTGGTGGTGATGGCGGAGGAGGGAGGGTGGTGGGGTGTCATTGGGGAAAACCCGCTCTGGGCTGAGGCTTCTGCGGGCCTCCACCTGACACAGCACTCAGCAAGACTCGAAAAAAAGCAGGAAATTCCCCTCGGCTTGTCTGATCTTACAGAGGAAGTATTTGCTGGCTGTGGAGGAATTTCACTGAGATTTCTTGGCCAAACAGTCGACCGAACCCTCTGCAGTGTGTTTATGTGCGAGCTGGAGCTGTTTGCTAACTCAGCTGTGAGTTTCTCCACTTAATCTCAGCTCTGAAACACGAATTCACACTTTGTAGAGAAGACTGTGACTCCTTTTCTTGACTTTTTTTGGCCCTTTTATTGAGTTTATGTGCACATAAATACAGTCTTAAACACCTCAGCCCAACAGTTTAAATACAAATAAATACAAATAAATACACGCAGCTCTCATAAGTACATGATACCAGTTTGTGTACAGGTCTTGTACCTAAACTCTCTTTGTAAAGAGATGTGTCTGTGAAGGTCCAGCTCACTACAATCTCAGGTCAGGATAAATAATGTACAAAAAAAAGTGCCAAATATAGAAAATAATGTTGCAAACTGTTACAGTTTATAGGACTTTAAAAAAAATGGCGGCCTCTTTGGCCACAAATGTTATCTCCATTGAGATTTAAACCTTTGTCCATCACCATGACGATGAGTAAAACGATTCCTTTAGAGAAAGAGCCGATACTAAAAGTTTCAAAGCGCAAACACACCAAAGAACGTCTTCCCCTCGTCGGTCTCCAGCTCCGACGGCTGGTTGGTTTCTGTCCACAGTTTATCTCCTTTGTGCAGCTGAAACACGGCGCCCAGATACACGGCGTTGTACCACCCCCGTCCTGAGCTGTACCCGTCCTCCTGAGCCGTGTTCTGGCACGCCGACCTCACCGCGCTCATCAGAGACACTTTGCTGCCGACGGAGTCCGAGTCGCACCAGATCCTGTGACTCAGAGGCCTGATGCGTTTTCCCGCTCCTTGCTCCTCGTCGCCCTCGCTGCAGGAGACTCTGAAGGAGGCCTGGCTGTACACGAAGAAGAGGCCGCTCTGTGGGATGATGATCTGGTTGTTTTCCAGCTTGAACCCGCCTTGAGAGAACGCTTGGCCTTGACCGTTCCTCCACTCGAGCTGGTTCGTTTCGTTGTCTCCATCGTAGCTGCCTGCAAACGCACCGAGAGAAAACCACGAGTCAAAACACGAGTCAAACATTAATAGGTGTGTTCCTGCGAAACCGAAATGAACATTCGCCTCAGGCTAATGAGTGATTTATGCAACAACTTCCTTTTAACTCTCCTCCACTGTGACACACTTCCATCTGCAAATATCAGCGCAGAACAAAGCTGAGATCATGAGCCCATTGTTAGCTGAAGGTAAGCTGTGACTCACCCTCTAAGTGGATTGCCGCCTTTGCTTTGCTGCCGATCCTCCTCAGGGTGTCGTGGTGATCTGAAAGGCGAGGACAAATGTGAGCTTTTCTGAAAATAAAATCCTCACAAAGACTCTAAAAAGCTCTCATTGAGCACCCACGCTTATAATCACCTGGAAATGTGAATTTATTCAAATAATCCTCTAAACCCTTTAGTATTTCTCTTTCTCGAATGAGCCCTCATGCATAAAATCACCTGTTTTTTCTGATGTGTCCATCCTGGTTTGTGCTTCATTTCGCCCTGAATGCATCTGTAATGAGGGTGAAATTGAATTAGAGACATAAAAACATGCAAATCTTCCTTTTATTGGAGAAAATTAAGAGTTTTAAAATGACCAAAAGTCGCCCCTTACCTTCATTTCGGAGTTTCCATTCCAGCACCAAGCAAACAGAAGGACTCCTCCAATACAAAGGGCCAAAATCAGAAGGGCCCCTGACACCTTCCACATCCATCCAGCAGAGGATTTCTTCTCCACCAAAACCACTGTCCTCTCCTCCAGAGCCAGCTCCACATCACCCGGTGGGGTTGTGTACGCCACCATCCTCTGCACAACTCTTCTTTTCAAGTCAGCTCACAGGTTAGACTGTCCTTCGAATAAAGCCGCAGCTGGATGCTCTCTGCTGCTACTTCTCTCTTTTGTGTTCACTATTGTGTTGGAGTGAACGTCTGCCAGAAAGCTTGTAGTATTTATGCTGTGGCAGCTGCCTCAGCAAAAGGGAAACTCCAGTGATGTCACCCTGTAAGTGGAGACTAGCTACAGGAGGCAGCAGCAGCAGCAGCAGCGGCCGGGCCGGGGAGAAGGAAAGAGAAGTCACAGAAATATTCAGAGGAGTTTTTTTTCTTACCCGAGGGGAGCCGCGGTTTCAGGATGGGAAAGTGGTTTGGTCGCTGCTGTAGGGTTCGAAAAAAAAAGAAGTGTACACAGTGCCATTAACACACATACACACGCGTCCCTGCCAACACAAATATGGCACAAACACACACAATATGAGACAGACACAAAGTCATGAACACAAACAAACACATATTGAGCTCATTACTGACCCGAGCCACCCACAGAATGAAGGACCGGAGCGAGTATCTGCTGAGGTTTTGACATGAATCCTCGACTCACCGACAATCTGAGGTTACATCTAACCAGATGTTTACAAATACCACAAAAACGTGAGTTTATGTCAGAAAGCCACCTGTTTATCATCTGTTTCGCAACTCCTTACTGTAACCACCTCTATTTAGCAATTGGCAGTACTATATTAGCATGTAATAAAGGGTTAATAACACACTTAAGGACTAGCTTATTAAATACTTGACTTCCTCTACTGAATCACATCATACCTTGTTACAGTTCTGTTTTTTTAATCTTCACTTTATTCGCTAAAGGAAGCCACTTAAAATACATCCATAAACATGTGTTTGCTTATTCTTAACATTTTGAATGTATAAGATGATTAATATCTCGATAGATTTTCAATAAATTCATGAAATTGAAAAAGTTCACTCGAACAGAATTTGCCATATATAAAACACTATCAAACGCTTAACATTTCAGCCTCTGTCTGAGATGCTTCATTTGAGCTACTGTCTCTTTAAGGCTCCCCCAGCATTCTAGAACCCAGCGGTCTGGAAGCCTCCTTCACTGTTGCAATCCAATAAAAAGAAACATTTCTTTTTATTAATGACAAATGTGCCCTTTTGAGGAGATTTGCTGTCTGGTCACGTCACGATTTAAACAAATCTCACATTGATCTCACTGAATTCTCATGTGATTGTTTGAAACACTAATTCTAGCCTCTGTCTGAGATGCTTCATTTGAGCTACTGTCCCTTTAAGACTCCTCAAGCATTCTAGAACCCAGCGTTCTGGAAGCCTCCTTCACTGTTGCAATGGAAAAAAATAAAGAGGCATTTCTTTTTATTAATGACAAATGTGCCCTTTTGAGGAGATTTGCTGTCTGGTCACGTCACGATTTAAGCAAATCTCACGTTGATCTCACTGAATTCTCATGTGACTTTTTGAACAAGTCATTCAGAGCACCCTGCGGTCCCATCTGGGGATTACTTCAACACACAGACCTTGTGATCTGAAACGTTGCTCATGCATAGAACTGACGTCCAACAACTTTGAAATGTATGAAAAAAGCATATCACCTATTTAAGATCGACCAGGCTGCCTGCAGTGTCTGCAGAAATCATTTCTTTATTATTTTGATCCACCTCACAGACACCTGCCAATGAGAATTATTTCAAAACGCCATTAATCAATCCAGTTAATCAGCTGGACCAATTGATCAGTTCCAGGGGCCTCACTTTTTTTGACTGGGGTGGCCAAACTCAGACACCAGCTCTTGTGCAGGTGTGGTAAACGGGGTTTTACCCAAACAAAGGTGGCTTATCTCCACTGATCACATTCACTTTCATCTCTTATAGAAAAGGTACATAAATGTTGAGTTCACTTTGGTTTCAAATTTCCCCAGATCGACTGATTAACCAGTCCCTCTTCAAGTTTTTTCTGGGTTTGAATGTTTAACTTCACAGTAATATAAGGTGAGCAGACGTCCCTGATTTCCAGGGACAGTCCCCGGTTTGGATGACCTGTCCCCGGCTAAAGCTGTCCCCAGAAATGTCCCTGATTTAAGCATTTCATGAATGAGAAACAAAAAAGCTGCATGTTGACTAGAACAACAGGTATTATGGTACCTGAGTAGGGAGGACACGTGAGTAAGCATGTTGTGTGCAGTCCTAACCAACAGTTTTATGGTGTGTGTGCTGCTACGAAGTAGTACCGAGATGTTCTCCAGAAATATGTTCCTGGATTTCATTGGAAACCTGGTCACCTTACAGTCCTAGCAGGTCCTAAACAAGCTTAATCACTGAACACATGTGACATTACTCACAGGTTTATTGCTCTAGCGGTGGAGGAGTGTTCGTGTTGTAACCACCAACAGCGCAAAGATGAATGGCAAAATAAAATGCTGGGAAATTTCTCCATTTACACATATTTATTGATTATCGTAAACTAGATTAGTAAATCAGCCTAGCTTTAGTCACATTTCTCGAACCAGAACTGGCTGACTGGTGTATATCCTGTTGCTTAACACAATTACAATAGAAACTGACTTTTACTTACAAAGATTAGGTTAACATGTTGTGAAATCTGAAACATCCGTGAGTATTATTCTTTCTAAATGCCCCTGAATTACCTCCATGTGGATTTTGGAGCTCTTTTCTGTTTTCATATGACATCTGAAGTCATTTCTAAAAACTACTTCAGTCTAAAAAGAGAAAGCTGACTTGAATGAAGACTTGGCACCTCTCGTCTTTCTGTTTCACAACTAGGAGGAGGTGCAGCTGAGGTCAGACTACCGGGCAAACCGGTTTTTACACTTCCATCAGTTTCCCTCTTTCACTTTCTCATCTGACTTTCACATGATAGATCAAAATAAGAGGATTTTTCGTCAAATAGACCTGTAACGTCCGAAGAGTTTGGCTTTTCTTCATGTGGTGATTGTAGAAACACTTACAGATCCCTTTTACGTTCAGAGTGACAAGATTGCTCTGTTTGCTTGTTCAGAGCGTGTGTGTGTGTTTGTGTGTTTCCTGTCTGAGCTGCAGTTCTGTATGACTGGTATTCACACTAAAGATTAAAGTGCATGGATGTGTGTGTATATGTGTCGTGGGGGTGGGCGGGTCTGGGGTTGACTGTCATTCATTCCTACATGTTATCAGTAACCGACCGCAGGATGTTGCAGGATGTTGCAGGATGACACCATCGTCACCATCACCCTGTGCACCCACATGACACACAAACAAACAAACACACACACGCACACCGACTCTCTCTGCAGTTCCTCCTGCTCACTCAGCCACCACCTCTCGATAGACTCTGAGTTAGGACATCCGCTGACTTCAGACTGCACAACAAGATCATACAGGGCACACTCCTGACTGTAGATGTGGTTCATAGATCAATGCAGCTTCAGTCAGGTCTTTTTTTAGGTAAAGTGAAAGAAATGCAACTTTTAAAGGACATATAGTCAACATATACAGTATATACCAAAGCCTTGATTTTGTCTTTGCTGTCAACATACAGTTTTTTTTTTTTTTTACCAAATGTGAACAAATTTGGTCAAGAGGTCAAATTCAGTGACTCAAATCAGACGACACCTCATATCCGGCCATCAGCTCCCACATTTATATCCACCCTTAGTCATAAATGATGGTCAGTCTCAATATAACTTTGAACAGTAGAATGATCTTATATAAGTTATTGGTGACTGTAAACTTGTTAGTGATTTATGGGGTTTTGATGTCTTTTAGAGTCAGCCTCAAGTGGTCATTTTAGGAACTGCAGTCTTTGGCCATCTGGGTTTTGAGTTTGACTCTTTGGCTGCCATCATTTTCCTTTATTTATTAATTTGTCTAAATAATTAAAGCTCCTGTTAGGAACTTACAGTTTCTGATGATTATGGCGCCCCCTGTGGACAAAGCAGTCTTTGCTTATTTTGTCCTTCCCATAAACTGTATAGACTATGGACAACTTGGTTCTGCCTTCCGCCAGTATATGGATTTGAAACCGAAAAGCTCTCGGTAATTCTGCATTTTTTCTCCATTTCCTGAAACCAAGATTGCGCAGTAGCGTTGTACGCATTTGGCGGGAGAGTCACCGAGAGTTGCTGTGACAACACTCGTCTCAAACAGTGTATCCCCCCAGGTGAGCTACACAATCTTCGTACGCCCATAGGCTGTATCAAGTGTCAATCATAGAAAACATGAACCCCCTAATAACTTTTAAAAACTGAGCTTCACAGAAAAAAGAGGACTTGAGTACAAACCGGTCTTACAATAACTACATGTCAACATCACAAGCAGGGGGGAGAAACATTTATATTCTGTATAATAAATTTCTAAAGTTTGTCCACAGCTCCATAAGCTTTGCTGGCGAAGGTGGGATTTATGACCTATACTGCAGCCCGTCACCAGAGGGTGCTGTTCTTGGAGTGGCTTTACCCAGCGAGGTGGCAGATGGCGTCCATTCTATATACAGTCTATGGTCCTACCCCCTAGCAAGAATTTCAGGCCTTGTAATAATATTAAAAATCATTAAAATGCATTTATTTGAGTTTCAGTTTATTTATTTATAAAAAACTCCTCACTGGAGCTTTAATTCAGCAGCCAATCTCCTTTTCCCTTTAATGAGCCAGAGGTGACCCTGTCTGAGCAGGAGGTCAAATCTAGTCACTAGATTCTAGTGACTCAAACTAGTCAACACATTCCACAGCACTGGCAACACCCACTTACATCCACACCCATGATTATGCATTATGCACACACACACACACACACACACACACACACACACACACACACACACTCACTCACTCACTCACTCACTCACTCACTCACTCACTACACTCACTCACTCACACACACACACACACACACACACACACACACACACACACACACACACACACACACACACCATGCACAATTCTGGGTTTAAAATTTCCTAAATGTTTTAAAGTCACTGCGGCCCAAATTTCAACCAACTGTTTTATGCTTGGTTAATGTTTCCCAGGACGATGGGTTAAATGTTTTGATCAGCATGATCGGTCAAACATTAAACCCAAACCCCGGAGGAAGGATTTAATATCATCAAACT